TTTGGTTTACTCTTTATGCATTAAACTGTAACTTAGTATGCATCAGAATGAGTTGAACCTTGTCACACTGAATGTATGGACTTTCAACTTTTCTGCACAGCAACAAGATGTAGTGTAACCTGTCCTTGAATGATCTCCTCCATGATTAACATATCTCTCTGTACCAGGACCTGGATGTTACATTTGGGCAGCACAGCGGTTAGTGCTCACAGGAAAGAGGCTAAAGGAATTCTGTGCGAAGTTTGCATGTTCTCCCTGTGCCTGCGTGGGTTCTCTTCAGATACTCCAGCTTCCTCCCACAGTCCAAAGACATGCAGCTCGGGCTGATTGCCCATAGGAATGAGTGTGAATGTGTGGTAGACTGTCTGTGAAAGACTGGCGACCTGTCCAGGGTGTACCCCGCCTCTTGGTCAATGTCAGCTGGGATTGGCTCCAGCCCCCTTGCGACTCTATTCAGGAAGGAGCGGTATAGATAATGGATGGATGTTCCATTTAAAAATTCAAAGCAACTTATGTTGTATTAAATGTGGAATAGAGGGTAGTGTAGGTGAATTACAACTTTTCAAAGAGAACTGTGATTTTTCTTTTTTCCAACACTTTTATCTGCCTCTGTATTTAGAACATTCACAAGCTCACTTGTCACTGAGAAACCCAAATAAAGGGGCTCCAACCATCACACCGATGAAGAAAACGGTGGCTGTTGCCTTGTTCATCCCTTTTCTACTACACACGAGATCCCACTGCAAAGAAACCATTGCAGATATTATATAATGTATTTACAAGTTTAACTCAGTTCTTACTTTTCCCCATGCATTGTATTTACTGTATTTGGAAACAATTTCAACCTCCAAGCAAAGTGTAGATATAAAAATGTATTTTATGTTAATAAAAATGGCATAATCTTTAACAAAACACAAATGCCAATTTCTCCAAGGAACAAAATGTCATAATTAATGAATGACACTTACCTCTGTTGCCACAGTAGATTTAAAGGTGCTGTTGTCATACACCCATCCATTCCAGCACTGAACAGTAAATGCATCCTCACTACTGTTAGAGCCTGACAGATATTGATACTGGGGCACTGAAAACATCTGACAGGAGCTGAGGGTCCCATCCTGCTCTGCTGGAATACCAACAGCCAGTTTCTGGTCCAGAGTCAAATTCCCAAAGAGGTCTCCATTATCAAGAGCACTGATGTCACAGTGGTGAGAGGGAACCGCTGCCATGAAGTTATTCAGCAGAAAGTGACATGGCAGAGTAATTCGAGAGAGGATCTGAATGAGAACTAGCTTGATCTGAAATTTTCCAAATCCATTAATTTCTGAAAGTATGTTGTCAAACTTCATTTTGCTGAACATAAAACCAAATATTGTAACAGGAGTGTTACAAAGCTTAAATAAGACACGTCAGGAATAGGCGCATAAGGCGGCCAATAATATCAAGGGGTGAACTCAATTATAGAGCCAGAAGAGTAGAAGCGATACCGTCTCTTTAATAAGAGCACTGACAGCAAACAAAACGGTACAAAAACTGCTTGAAACGCACTCACAGGTCGGTAACACAGTCCAGGGTCAGTGCCGGCAAACTCACACAGCCAAGGGGACCAAAGCGGGAGGTGAGAGAGGGCAGTCCGTTAATCGAATACACAGAAAACAGTCCGAATTAGGAGGGCAAGCTAATATTTATAGAACAGGAAAAACAGGCACAGGAAAAAACCCTGGAAAGTCTGAAAATGGGTTAGAACGACCTGACAGAAAGCTGCCTAACGGGGTTAAAACAGGTGTAAATGAGTACTGATTAAAGTAAAAAGTCCGTAGCTGAGATAAGGCTATAGCAGGAGGTTATGTCAAAATAAAAGCATGAGACCGGAAACAGGCGGGACAGATTCATGACAACATACAGTATGTTAATCATTACATTATGTGTAAAACAAAAGGCTTTTCACTTTTTATTGCTCTCAGACAACTTTATATACCTTACGAGGGCAATTTGGTTTCATAGGTTTACAATCTACTCAACCATACACAGACTCACATATAAGCAGCAATCATCCATCACTGAGATATCAGGAACAGCAAGTCAATGCAGCATCAAAAAGGTATATGACTTAAGAGGGGACAAAAAGTGCAGTATAATCAGATTCTGGTTTATTTATTGCATTTAGCAGAAGCAAGCATGATCCAGCTTTGAACCTTGGAGCAAGGACAAGAGTGTGGTGTCATCAGAGAATTTTACCAGGTATCTGCTCTCCTTAAAAGACCTGTAGCTGTCCTTGTACAAAATAAAAAGTAGGGAGAAAAGCACACAGCCCTGAGGTGTCTGAAACAGGGGCAATGGACATACTGTAACTTGTTGAATTCTATCTGTTAAAAAAAATTTAAAACAGCTTTAATCAGGTAATTTTAAAAAAGAAGCAAGCTGCTCAATCAAAATATGAGGTTGCATCTTATTAACAACAGATGACAAGTCTCCAAAAGGAGTCTCGCATGAGCTCTGGGTTTGTCCAAATGCCTGTATATTCTGTCAAGAATAAAGAGTTTTGCATCTTCCACTCATTTGCCTCCTTTGTACCCTATATGATGATACATTCACAAAAAACAGTATAAACAGCAATGCGCACAGGTTCACCAAGAGCCGAGGATCATCAGCATTTTTCATTCAGATTGGCACAGATGAGGTGGAAAATACATCAGAGGGCGTATGGTGACAAATCATGATCTTCTTGAGCATTATGCAACAACTGGTATGTACAAAGATATGTAAGAATTCCTCATCAGTTTGAGACCAAGTAAAAAAATAAGAGGAATAACTCTCAAATACCCTGCCAGATTATACACATTTTAAATGTGACTTTACATTTGTGCAGATATTGTAAATCTAGTGATGTTTTCATATTTTCCATGTGTATTGCTGGGTATTCACATTTTGCAACAAAATGAGCCACACACTAACCAAAGTCTCTCTTTAGCTTACAATAATTATTGTATGTTTATTTAAGACAGGAAGGTTACTGTTGTCATTACACCATCTATTTACTGCTGAGCAGCTTTACAATGTGCAACTTTATCCTGGATTTTATTAACCAGGCAGAACAGTTTTAATTAAGTGAAAACAAAGGAAGAAGTGAGTGTGTATGTAGGAATTAAAGTAGTACAGGTATTCTTCCTCCTTTCTAGGGCGCTGTCCACGATGATTGGAGCAGAGAGGACGGACGGACTGAAGGACCAATAACAGGAGAGTTAAGTCTAAACCACGGCTTCTCCCCAACAGTTTTGGACCAATTAGATAGTAGCACCTTGTTATTGTTATTGTTTCTTTCTTGGATGTGTGTAATTTAGTGAGCAACCCAGAGGGTTTACTCAAGTATACTAGTATCATGCAACAGTGTTATGACCCCACCTTCTGGCGGCTGTCTGCAAATGTTGCTTTGGACTGAACAGGTTTGTGTTTGTAGCAAAATCTACAAGTTTTGAACTCACTATCATTTTCCATATAATAAAAAAATATGAATGGAGTCATTATTTGCCCTTAACCCTGGTCTACAGACTAACACTGTGTAGCACTAACAGGAACTATTTCATCAGGCTGATTATTGATTTTTACAATTTCACACCAGGCTATGAAGGAATTGTTTTGTTCATATATCCATATACTAATCTCAAAAGGAGTAAAAAGAGCAGAACTATAAAATATGCTGTCAGTTCTGGATAAAAATTGACCTGCTGGAAAATTTTGACAGTTGTTTTCCATGAGATAAATTTAATCAATAGGATAATTGAAGCAAGAACAAGGTATAAAATAAACAGCCTCTCAGATTTAGTTCTTAAATGGAAATGCTGACAGCCATCGCATTGCTGATATTTGTTGCAGTGATAGATGAGAACAGGAGAGGGAAAGTAACCTCACTATATAAACAGCAGTTCGGAAAACAGCCACCCAATTGTTTTGCTTATACTCTTGGATGTGAATGCTGCTTCCCCCTTGATATTACATACCATTCCATTTAGAGCGATGGCAGCTCTGATGAAACCGCCAAAGTAAAACTGCACTCCCTATTGGGGATAGGAATAATTTAGAGAATTTCAAAGTCGTTAAAAATGTGTACTACTGCTGAAATCATTTTATCTGCTCAGTAAATAAAAATGAGTTGTAATAACTGTTAGCAATTGAATGTTTTTGCTAAACAATTTAATGATTACCTTGGTAATCTGGCAAATCAAATCTTTAATAATTTAAATCTATACATATGTTAATCCTGGTGCAAATTATTTGATGTTTTTATAGAAATTTAGTATTGAAAATCTGTCCAAATGTTATTTTTTTATAATACACCCTTACAGTGAAAGGCTCCCTGTCCTGAAGTTGTCTTTGTTTTAATGAAGGTATCATTAGTGACACTGTGAAACAGCATTAGAAATGATAATTTGGTAAGGTTCAATGGTTCCCAGGAACTGTGTGTCTCAGAGTGCTTGACAGAATCCTACAATGAAGATGAAGCCCGTGATCCAGAGAACCTTTTACATCCACAGCCTCCTCATATCTCAAAATCTGATCCTGAGTCTCCAGAATGCCTTCAGTCACAAGACTGGGAGTCTGCTGGTGAGCAACGTTCTCTGGCTAAACTAAGTGGAAGTGATGAGGATGTTTCATACCCAGGCGAAGATGAAATCTGCCTTAGTGAATCAAGACAGTCCATTATAGAGTCTCTGCATGTACAAAACTCACTGACATCACTGTTGCCACACCCAGAGCAACCTGATTCAGAGCCTCCTGCTGGCCAGATGTCAAGGCCGCATTCCCCTTCATCTTCCTCTTCTCTTGGCTGTACTGGTGATATGACCCTGGCCTTAACCCTAACCACAGAACAGCAAATGGGAGCCAGTAATGGGCAGGGCTCAGGGACTGGGAACAGGAGGGCTGACTCTTCAGAAGAAGGAGGGAGTAATAAAGCACCTCCTGCTTCAGTCTTCTTTGGAATTTCAGCTGAGGGTGCTGAGCAGGCAGAGAACTTGAACTTGGAGTCAGACACAGATCTGTGCAGACCAGATCAGCACAGGGCAACGTACACACGTAAGTATCTTCTACCCTCTTTTTGTACTGTAGATTTCAGTGGACACATGAAGCTGAGCTTTTTTATTAATAAGAGAATTTTGTGGTTTCTTTAAATGCAGCGTGAAGCACCAATCGGCTTCCAATATTTCCTGCTTGTATTCAGTGTAAAGTTTAATATAATGCAACAGATGTCATTAAATCAATAATTTGGCTAAAGCACTATGGGTGCTGGTTATTTTTATGCAGTAACATGGAGTCTATTTAAGGTGGACTTACTGGGAGAATCCCCATGGCTTTTATAGTCAGAACAGGATAAGAATAAAATATGACCATATGATGAGGCTGACAGAAGCAAATTTGACAGACACCAGCATGTGTCCCCTGACCTGTCACCAGATCCCCTTTCCAATCGTAAGACTTGACCTCAATGGAAAGTGAACTCCTCACTTTTCTTGCCTCATGGATCCCCTTAAGTTAGCTGTAAGTAAATATGGTGCTTTTATTAGTGTGCTTGCTTC